ACTTCCCAGATGGCACCCTCCCATAGCCTATCTCCCCCCCACTAGAGCCCTTATACTCTGATATCCCTGTTAATGTCTGCTGTGTTGTCCCTGATAAGCGAGTATGTATCCAGATATAACTACAGGAACCAGGATAACAGAAAGGAAACAGGGAGGTAAAGGAAAAGAAATAGCCTGAAGCTGATGAATAGTAGGTAACAGGCCTTAATAAGGGAGATATGGATAAAAACTGGGTTAGTTTAAGGGAGGAGGGGGAAGGGTATATGAGGAACCTAGAGGATAAGGAGAAAGAAGAAGCTCAACAGAGGTAGGATCATAGGAGCAACGGTATTAGTAAGGAAGAAAGGGGGAGAAGTGGGGGCACCTTAAGTGGGAAAACCATGATAGAGGGGTGAGACGATGCAAAGGAGAAACAATGCCTAGTCAGGAAAACCAGAGGGAACCATATTATTCCTACAATCTATTGACTAATTATACATAACAGACCAAGAAATATAAAATATTATTTTTAAAAGGATGAAATGTACAGTTTTTCAAGAAAATAATTATATTGATACTATAGTAAGAAATTCAGTAGGTATAAGTTGTAAAGTAGCACAAAAACTTTAATGTGAGAATAACAGAAATTATTGTCCTCTGAGTGGGATAAGCTATGGCAAATGTCAAGAAATCTTTGAGAGACGAAGCCAAACAAACATAAGCCATTTAGTCATGGAATAAAAAGAAAAGTAGTTCAAATTCATCCATGTAATATGTTTAATTATTTTCTTTTTTCACATTATTTGTTCATTTGTTTCCTGGAAAAAAAGGTCACTTTCTTGTCTACAAATGCCTTGAGCTCATGATTTTCCTGCCTCAGCCTCCTGCGTGCTACAGCTAAAGCCCTGAGCCACCTTAACCTAGTATTTTTCATCTCATCCAATGTGATCTCCTGATCACTGTATTTCTCTGTCCTATTGTTACTCAGGTCAGTGATTTCTGTCATATATTCAAGCTACAGAACAAAGTAGCAGGATCAATACGGAATATACCTTCTAATACTGATTATGACTTTTCTCTTTTTCTGCTAACAGGTGGTTTGAAATCTGCTCTCTGATCCAGCCAATCGATCAAATGAATGATTCTGCAGTTCTTGATTTTGTGTTGCTTGGACTTTCTAGTTCTTGGGAAACAACCATTTGTCTTACGTTCACCTTCTCTTTGCTCTATTTAGGAATCATCCTTGGAAATCTTTTCATTGTCTTTTTGGTAATTACTGACTCTCACTTACAGTCTCCTATGTACTTTCTACTGGCCAACCTGTCCCTCATTGATATCAGCCTTTCATCTACCACAGTTCCAAAGATGGTCTCAGATCTTTTACGTGAGATCAAAGTAATCTCTTTCCAAAGTTGCATGACACAGATATGCTTCATTCACATCATGGGGGGAGTGGAGATGGTGCTGCTCATAGCCATGGCTTTTGACAGGTACACAGCCATCTGTAAGCCTCTGCACTACTTGAGCATCATGAGCCCTAAAATATGTGTTTCCTTCGTAATCATTGGCTGGGTAACAGGAGTGATCCATGCCATGTCTCAGTTTTCTTTTGTTATAAACTTGCCTTTTTGTGGTCCTAATCAAGTAGACAGCTTTTACTGTGACTTCCCTCGGATCATAAAACTTGCATGCACAGATGAAGCTAAGTTTGAGTTTGTTGTTGCTGCCAACAGCGGCTTCATGAGCATGGGCACCTTCTTCCTGCTTCTCCTTTCCTACATCTTCATTTTGATCACAGTCTGGAAACGTTCTTCAGGGGACTTATCAAAGGCTCTCGTCACTCTGTCAGCTCACATCACAGTGGTGGTTCTTTTTTTTACTCCATGCATGTTTCTCTATGTGTGGCCTTTCCCCACATCATCGGTTGACAAATATCTTTTCATTGTGGACTTTGCTATCACCCCTGTCCTGAATCCTGTCATCTATACATTTAGAAACAAAGATATGAAGATTGCCATAAAAAGACTGAAAAAGAATCGATGTTATATCAAAGTTTGCTGACCAGATCTGTCATGAGATTTTTGTAATTATAGAATTCTAAATAAAACATGTTGAACATCTCCTCAACCTGGTGAAACTAGAACATTTTGCCTCACTGAATGAATTCATATTACTTTTATGAAGCATTTAATGATTATATCGACAACTGTAAGAAAAATAGATCTATCAGAACATGAATTATTGTAAGAGATAGCAGCATTATTTATGTGTTATTTATGTGTTAAACATTTAGACATGAGAAATTACAAAAATCCATTCTTTCTGTTTTTCATAGTCTTAGTAAACAGACTTTTCACTTATTTTAGCGAATGTCACACCCAAGGGTCAGATGTATTCACTCTATTCCCTTATTTAGCTCAATCTCCCTCCAAAAAAAACCTAACACACAATTTTATTTCACATTCTTTATTTGGAAATTGACTGTTTGAAGCATCAGTCAGGGAGAAGAGATAAGAACATAGACATGAAGGATTCATATGGTGATAAACATAACTGAGCTTCAAACACAATGAAGAGAAAATGGAAAATTTCTACACTGTTGATGGGAAAACATTATGGAAGTTGATAAAGAAAATTTTAAGCAAGATGACCAAGTGATCAGGAAATTGTACTAATGGAATCAAGAATTTGATATAATCAAAGTACCCATCAATCAATAAATGAATAAATAAAATGTGATTATATACAAAATGGAATATTATCAAGTAAAAAAATGGCAAATTGTCATTTGTTGTAAAGTATATGAAACCAAACATAATAAATGGAAAAAATTAATGTCAGAGAAACAATTTCCATATGATGTCAGTCATACATAAACTTTTTACAAGTTTGTTTCACAGAGATTGAACTCAGAATGAGGGCAGTGAGGAAATCAGGAGATGTCAAGTTACAGTTAGACAGAATAAGTTCTATTTTGGTGTTGCACATAAGGGTGTCTACAGACAAAGAGATATTTTGTAGTTTAAAAATCTGTAAGAAAAACTTGTGAATGATTTACCAAAAATAAGTGATAAAGTTTTGAGGAACTAGATGTGTTTGAAAAAATATATGTATTTATCATCATGTAATATTTATATTACTGTAAATATTTATAATTTCTGGGGTTTTATATGTTGCATAAATTTCCAAGGGAAAGATCAAAGAAATACCTGCCTCCATATGGGAATAGGGCTTAAACATCAGAGTGACTTAAGAAGTCTAACTTGACGAGTAAATGAGTTTGCTAGGGGTCACCTACAGAAGTGAATGGCTTACTGCCAGCTGTGCTCATGGAAGTGACTACTCTCTGCCTACTAAGCTCCATTTAACAGAACTGTACATTTATGCAGCACCTAGCATAGGACAGGAACAGTTCAGACCTAGAGAGAAGTTATACCCCTGGGTGCACTAAATTCTTATTAGAAATTTTAAAATTTCAAATTTCAGCAAACACTGTCAGTCCATGGTTCGGGTGGGTTGCTTTGCTGTAGTCTGACACATAGAATCAGTAAATCAGTGAACAGAATGGAAAAACTAGTACCCTGCTGATGAACAGTGTTACTTTGGGCTAAGAAATAACAAAAAAAGACTGAATGGACTAAGGACAAAAATAAAGAACTCTAAATAGCTGATGAATATATTAAAAGTGTTCAGCCTCACTATTAATCAAAGAACTGTAAATTTTAAGATAGATCATTTCTACTACAATATTCAATACTACATATTTACTAGTAAGAAATAATTTAAAATTTTTAAAATTACTCTGCTCATAACATGCCTAATTCAAACACTTAAGCATATTGCTGCTTTCATTTAACATATTATGTGTTATAGAGGATGCATATCCTTGTAAATTCCTTTGACAATTTTAAATGAGAATATGACCTAAATGTACAGTTGTATTTACATACAGTTCAGGCCTTAAACATTCTCAACATAAGATAGGGAGATCCAGCATCATACACAAATGACCTATGCAGTCATATAAAATCCCACACTTAAAAGGATTCCACACAAGCTTTAAATGTCCTGCCATTTCTATCTTGAGAACTTGCCATCTCAACTGAAGTGCCCACAAATTTATTTTCTATTGAGCCCTGCAATAATGTATATGGTATCCCCAGAGGTAACATCTACGGAATGTCAATAAAGTTAACCTCCTATCATTCCTGTCAAGTGTGTATGAAGACAATGAGGTTGGATGTGCTTTTGCTTTGACAGTCCTCTGCCAAACTTGCTTGTTGTGAAGTACGACCAACAAACATTTCCTATAAAGCATTAACAAGTACGTTAAACTCTATAGAATATGTAGCATCTTTCTCAAGGCAACTCTGTTGTTCTAGCATGAAAAGAACAACAGATGGTGTTTAACCCATAGTTGGTGCATGTTAAAATGACAGTGGCTGTGTTCCCAGAGAAAATTTATTCAAATATTTTCCAAATTTTGCCCATAAGTCATAATTTTACATCCCATCTAGAAAAAGTTTTATTGAGCTCTTTTCTTTTTTGTCATTGCTAAACCCAGTTCTAATCCTTTACATTCTGTCAGAATTCAAAATGTTTTAAGAATTTATGTGTACATATACAGTCATTTGGCCATTCATCCAGCACGTTTTCAGAATGCTAAAGTCAATTTTGAAGTAGTTGTTTGATAAAGCATACTGTGTAAGAAAAAGTATACATTATTCATTGCAAATAATTTCTTGCTTATTTCTGATCCAAAGTCTTGTTAAACTTTATGGTCATTGGCACCCACTCAATGAATGGCAGATCTTCAAATGATTGTGGATGCCTCTTCATTCGCTCTTCCCTCATTTATAGAAGCGGTCTTATGCCCCATACTTCTGCTATGTAACAATTTCCTCCAAGTTAATACATTCCATCTTGGAAGGAAGCTATTTCAGAAACATTATGTTCTAAAAGGAGGTAGACATCCATCTTTCAGGGAAGCTTCTTAAGCTCAGATGGCAAACAATTTAAAAGCTTTAGGAAAAAGCCTGGTGCATGGTAGAACACACTTTTTTGTACATGAACATATTTATTTTTCCTCAGTGCATATTTTTATAAAATTTTTTGCATTTCAGACATCTTTTTATTTTTAATTAGGTTTTTGTGCATTTCATATAATAGTTCTTAATCAAATTTAGAACCCCTCTCTAATCCACACCCTCCCACAGTTCCTTCCCCACACTGAATTTCACTCATTCTGTCATAGATATTAAGTCCTATCCACTCAAGCTTTTATACCCAGATGTCCTTTGGTGCAAGTTCATCCACTGGAGTATCCTCAACCTTTCTAGAGATACTGAATAAGATCTACTCTCTTGCACAGTTCTCAGTTGTGAGTTGCCAGTAGTTCCTCAGCTAGGGTTGGAACCCATGGCCCATATCCCTTATTCTATGTTAGGTTTTTGTCTGATTGAGTCAGCGTGGGTCTTATTCAAATGAACAAGAATCCATTGACCTGAAAGCTTCTGTTTCCTTATGTTCATGAACCAAGCCTGGTTCTTACAATCTTTCCACACTCTCTCCACAATGGTCCCTGAGCCATGGGTGGGTGAGATTTAATATGAGTCCTATCCTGGGATGCACACTCTGCAGTCTCTTATACACTAAAACTTAGCCAGTTGTGGCCTTCTGTGTGCATCACACTCTGTTGTATGAGGAACCCTCACTGGTGAGAGTCAAGGGATGTATTCGTATTCTCACTCTCCCCTGTTCTGCTATGTCCCATTAGCCATAAGTTCCACTATAGATGTGTCACTTAAGGCTGGGCATCTCTCAGACATGTATTCTCTGTGTGTGACCACTTGTGAAAGTCTGTAATAGCTTCCATCTGTCAAAGAAAGAAGCATCTTTGATTAGTGGTGTATGGTACATTTTTCTGTAAATATAAGGACCCATATTTACCATACAGTATGAAATTTAATTTGTCTACAGATATGACAGAGATAGGGTTTTCTCTAGGATCTGTGACCTCTCCAGCCATATATATGTGGCTATATTTACAATGCTACACATTAGTTCCTTCCCACTGAGAGGGCTAGAAATAGTTTGCTGTGGCAGTCATTGTGGTTATTAGGCCTCAGAGCTGGGCTGGACCACTTATTGATTTTCTCCCTTATCAGCTGGCATAGTATTCTCTAGAACTATGAAATCTAGTGTTCAGATAGAAGAATTGCAGGTCAGTTCTAGCTCCAGTGCTCCAAGTCCTGTCTCCAAAGTATGTCTTGTCTTCAACAGTAGGGTCTTACCTTCAAGTTCTGGGAGGTAATCAAGGGCTGTGGCAATAGCCTGTGTTATTTTGGGAGTCTCTTGAACTACGAACTACCCTGACCAACAACTTTAAGGGACTTTTCTCCTGTCTGGCACTGTGTTTCTTCTTATATAGCTCTCAGATATATACATACACTCATATTCAGATATTGTATGTGTATTTTTAAGGGGGTAGGGGCTGAGATAATACATTTGCCTCTGACTTTTCTCACCACCTATACTTTATTTATGTCTCCTCTCTCTGTATCTAAATTCTCTCCTTCCTTCCCAGATAAAGTGCCCCCATTTTTCCATTGCTGATACCTGTCTCCTGTTATCCTCCCTTCTCTTGTGTTCCTTCTTCCCCTTTACCCTCATGGTTCCTTGTATGTCCTTCCCTTATCTCCCTTTCCAGTTGAATACCCACATTTTCACCATTTCTCCCATAATATCCTGTTTCTTATTATCCCCCCTCTCAAGCTATTTCTTTTCCTTTACCTCTGTGTTTCCTTTCCATTTTCCTGGCTCCTGCTCTTACATCAGGATACATACTCACATATAAGGGATTGGGAATAATTCACAAATGAGGGAGATCATATGCCACTTGTTTTTCTGAGTCTGTGTTACTTCACTTGGTATAATAGTTTCTAGGTCCATCCATTTACCTGCCATTTTCATGGTTTCATCTTTCCTTACTGTTGAGTGGAACTGCATTGTATAAATTTACCACCTTTTTATGAACTATTTATCAGTTGGGGAACATTTAGGTTTCCACTCCTTAG